TCCCTTATTATTTGGTAAATCAAATTTTAGATAAATAGTTTGAAATCCATATGTAATTAAAATGTCGCCCATATTAACACACACTACACACAATTAATATTAGACTAGAGCAGGGCCGGATTATGGTCATAATTTAAGGGGGGCTATTACTTTTATTGAGGCCTTTTCACCTAAAACAATTTCCTTTTTTTCTTCTGATTTATTAATTTGTAATAAATATAGCATTGTTTTTAAATAACATTTCCTTCTTATATTATATTATACATTTTTCGGCATATGCAATAAAAAAAAATATACACATATATTTTTAATCTTATATAATATTATGTTTGAAAAACTTTTTCCTGGATTTTTCCTGAGCAAATTTTCTTATAATATTTTCAAATGAAATATTCATAGTCAATTCATACTCTATTGAAAGAATAGATAGAGATGTCAGTCTTGATTCACCCATCATACAACGATATTTATTTTTAATTATTGTTAGTGCAGAAAAAGATGCTAATTGTATACATTTTTCTCGAATGGTTTCACTCATGGACGGCCACAATGCAGGATCTTTATTTATTTCCAACTCCGTCAATATTTTCTATTTACATGATATTAAATAGTATTAATATTTAAAATAAATATTTTAATTTAATTATGTTAAATTTACTTTATCAATGTTTGTATCAATTTCGCCGACGGTTTCATTCATTTCTGGCTCCAAAGAAGCATCTTTATTTATTTCCAACTCCGTCAATATTTTTTATTTGCATGATATTAAATAGTATTAATATTTAAAATAAATATTTTAATTTAATTATGTTAAATTTACTTTATTAGTGTTTGTATCAATTTCGCCGTCGGTTTTTTTCATTTTTGGCTCAAATGCAGGATTTTCAATTGGTTGAAAGAAATTTGACAATTTAGGAATTTTGGCTTCGTACTCATTTCTAATTTTCAGGGCTCTTCGTTTTGAAGCACCAGATTCATGTTTTCGGAAAGACATGATTATTAAATCACAATTATATATAACGTTTTAAAAGGAGCTTTAAATATTATATGATAATAAACTTAATAAAGTAATAAACAATCGGAAATCTCAAGCTAGCGTACTCTGCGGTCTAAGCTAACATAATCAGTACTGCACCTGCGGGCTGCAAAAGTACGTGTTTGTCGTTCATCGAACGTGTAATGTACTAGATTTAAAAATAAATTTAACCGATTATATTTATCGCGTTGACGGATCGGCCGGAAACCAGTTCGATAACGACGATAACGAGTTGCAAGAAGCGACGACGACCACTGTACCTATTGGGTCTTGTGTGTCGGTAATGAAGTATCAAAGTCCATAGTCCATTTTCCATATGACATAAATTTAAAATTTATAAGTTATAATAATGTTTTGAAAAAAAATGAGTTGACAC